GAACGGCTTTTGCGTGTGGCTAGTACCTACAATCACCTAGGGTCCATTACAATAAAAAAAAAATACCCACTATCTCTTAACGAAGCTAAAATAAAAGTAAGATTATAGATTATATTATAAATTACAAGCAAAATAACTATTACTCTAATGTTATTAATCATGAAAGTTTAAAATAAGTTATTTAAAATATCTCATCCTACTTATAGTATAAGCTCAAAGATATTGTTGTTTATAGGTTCATCCACTGTTCAAGTTCACACCACAAGCGGATCGTTTTGACGTGGCTGTATTGACATTGGACAGAAATGTTCACTACATGCCACATATAGGTACGTTACCTCACGAGTTTTATTAAATAAAGTAGTTAATTTAACGACAATTTCTGCAATTATAAAAGTATCTTCGATCTTCGACTTGTTAACATAAATTGATGGAATATTACTTGAAATTAATACACTGGCTCCTAACCAAATATAGAATAGTATATTAAAATGGGATATTGAAATTATTGTATAAGCAATTATTTAAAGAAATTTAAAATACACCTCGAAATAAGCCAAGCAAATTTGTAACCCGACCGCGAAATTCCCGTACCCAATCACAATTCACTAATACTCCCGTATAAGGTAGTAGTTTGTTATTGAATTTCAATATTCCATATTCTGTTACTTTCCTTTTCGTATAAGTATTTTTTTATCTTTTGACAGTGTGATTAAGTTTCATTAAAAAAAAAACACTTTTAGCCCGTTCTATGAAGGTTTTAAGGTCTATGGTTTACTTTGAGATTTTTTTTAAACATTTTTGTCTAAAAGTTAATGTACTTTTTATGGTCAGCTCCTATTTGCTTGCCGGAGCGTGGTTCCGAGTTCCTGGGCTCTTACGGATGGGCGGCGGGGTGGGGCGCGCTCAGTCCCGGCTCCAGGTTACGGCCGCGCACTCTCCAGGCTGTAGATGTGCCCGTGTTAGACAACAGAGTTTGCGAACGATGGCACCGAGCTAACGGTATGGTATTACGTATAATATACAGGGTTAATTATTAGAAGCCTGTGTTCATAAGGAATTCTCTCAGTTTGTTTACCATAACTCTTTATTGAGTCCCTTACAATCTGGTTTTAGACCATGTCACAGTACTGTAACCGCACTATTGAAAGTTACTGGGGATATCAGAGTGGGAATGGAGAATGGAGAAGTAACGGCCCTTGTCCTTATCGATTTTTCCAATGCATTTAACACGGTAAATCATGACATCCTTCTTGCTATGTTATCTCATCTTATGGTTTCTGACGAAGAGATTGGGTGGTTCTCATCCTATCTTCGGGACCGTCAGCAGTCGGTCCGGTTCGGTGAATCCTCCTCATCTTGGTGTGGGTTGGATGCTGGCGTTCCACAAGGCGGCATTCTTTCTCCTCTTCTTTTCTCAATTTTCATTAACTTCATTACGCTTAAACTTCAGTGTTCGTATCATCTGTATGCCGACGACCTTCAATTATATGCTCAGACAAATGTCGACGACTTGAATGGTGTTATCGATGCACTGAACAGAGATCTTGGCACAATTCTAAGTTGGTCTAAAAGTTTTGGCGTTGCTGTAAATCCGTCTAAATGCCAATCTATGATTGTGGGTAGCCGAACGATGATAAGTAGGATCAACTACGCTAAACTTAGACCTATCATGTACGACGGCTCTTTTATCCCATTTAGCGACAGTGTGAAAGATTTGGGACTGCACGTGGACTTAATATGAACTGGCAAATTCAAACTACCACTATTTGCCAAAAGGTAACTGGAGTACTAAGAGCCTTATATCGTCTACCAACCACAATCAAGGCAATGCTTGTGCAAACCATAATTTTCCCCATAGTCGATTATGGTGATGTGTGCTATCTCGACCTGAATGCAGATATTCTCAATAAGCTTGACCGTGTTCTAAATTACTGCATTCGATTCGTTTTTAATCTTCGTAAATACGACCATGTATCCCCATATCGCTCTCTTTTAAAATGGATGCCTATACGAAAGCGTAGAGAAGTGCGGGCATTGACTACTTTGTTTTCTTTGTTAGAATCTCCTAATGCCCCAAGCTATCTAACCCCCTACTTTCAGTATTTATGCACGAGACACACTAAAAATCTTCGATCTTCCTTTAATCGACTACTTGTTTGCCCCTCTCATCACTCTGACGTCATGCATTCCTCCTTTTTGGTTAAGGCTATTCTTCTATGGAACGCACTACCCTCAGATATCAGAATGTCCCCCAGTCGGTTAGTTTTCAGAACAAAATTGCGCGACTATACTAAAACAGCCAGATTCATGAAAATCGTTTTCTCACGTCTAGTGTGTATGTATGTATATATATGTATATATGTGTGTGTATAATTTATTCATCTATGTATTTATATATATTTATGTATTTATTTCCCAGTTTTTGTCTAAATTGAGTACCTTATGTGTAAGTATATATTTTCGTCTTGTCGTTTTAAGTGTATTGGTATGCGCCTACCTTTACTTTATATTTAGTCTCCACATCACCTAAAGGTTGACTGGCAGAGAATGCCTAAGACATTAAGTCCGCCTTTGTACTTTAGTGCATAAAGTATTAAATAAATAAATTATTATTATTATTTCGGAAATGCTGACCAAAGTAATTTTACCACGTGGACGAAATCGCAGGCCAAAGTTAGTTATAATATAAAGCACCAGTCCACAATAGGCCCGCGCGGTGGGTCATGGCTCATTCTCCCTATACGATTCAGTCTATAAGGATTCCTGTGCCCCAACGGTAGGTATATTAATAGGCTGATGATGATGAAATATTAATAACTCCACTCGAGCTTGATGACACAGTGGTTAACGCATTAGTGTCGGCTGTTCTTAAGATGGGTAACCAAAATATTATAGCTCCTTCATGCTTCGAAAGCCACGTTAAGCTGTTCGTGCAGACATTACAGTCGTTAATACTCAATACACAATGAATTTTGTTCCATTCACTGAGAAGGGTCGTGCCCAGCAGTGAGAAAATTTAATAGCCTTGTAGGATTATAGCAAATATCATAAATAAGAACGCTTGTTCTATGACTTCTGATAATTCTTTTTTAGCTACTCGTCCTATAATTTCAGAAATGTAATATCACATACATTTCTGAAATTATTTTTATTTTTAGTTTATTATTTTTATTGAATTGTACAGAACCCTTAGTGCGTGAGTCCGACTCACACTTTGCCGGTTTTATTTTCATCCTAGCACTCAGTCTTAGGTCGTTGATCCCGGCATCATCTGTTAAGATTCTATTAACTGGGTCCACAAAATATAGCTTTTTCATATAGCATGGGTACGGTGACGTTTGGGATTTGAAGTTTTTAGTGGTACGGTAATAAAAAAAATATATTTATGTAAAATCTCGATATTATTGAGTTCATTTCTAATAGAGATAATCGTATTTGTGGTCAATGTATGAAACAGGATTTAAGAAACATATTTATTCATCAACAACATGAACCCGAATAAGAATATTTTATTATATAGTATTTGAGTTTGATTGCTACGGCAACAATAATTAAAAATTATTATTTTTTAATTGGGATTGTATCAATATACTATCTCTATTTAAAAAAAAGTATCAATATACAATTCCTATTTTAAAAAAAGTTCTAATTTTTGTGAAAAGTATTGATTTATTAAACTTTAGAAGCTTAGACTTCAGTAATTATGAGTAATAAAAAATTATTTGTGTTTATTATGAAAATTTAAATAAATATCTAATATATACACAATCAAACTATTTTTATAACGATGGGTTTTAATTATTTAAAAAACAAATTGCGTGAATGTGAAAAGGACTATACTCAGTAGCAGCTATTAGGTTATTAGGCTGTTTTCGATGACAATGATGGCTGCAATCAAATATTTATTTATCTATGCTACAACAAAAAAATAACTTTTCTTTTTCAGGTATTAATGTTGTGATATATCCTGAAATGCTGTGTGCTGGCTACAAAGGCGGCGGGAAAGACAGCTGTCAGGGTGACAGCGGCGGTCCCTTGATGTTAGAGCGAGCAGGCAGATGGTACCTGATTGGTGTAGTCTCTGCCGGTTACTCCTGTGCCAGTAGAGGACAGCCTGGAATTTATCATAGAGTAGCACATACCGTTGATTGGATATCACACGCTACTACACTGTCATAGCGTTGACATTCGTTCGGCAGAAGTCAATGCAATTAGCAGTACGTTTTTATAACTGCATCGAAGATGTTGGATATGCTATTCTTTTCACACTTAATTTAAGAGTGACTAGGCTGGCGATGGCATTATTGGTTGTAGTTGAATTAATCAACCTTAGACATTAAATTTATATTAACATCCAGTATGAGTGAAATTAGACCTAAAAAGATTAGTAATTCCTAACGGCTTTTAGTTTTATAATTTTAACAGAGTGTTTTGTTTAACGCATAAGGTCTAATTTTGGTTGCACTGGATGTAAGTAAAAGTTTTTATAGTTGAAATGTGACACTCGTGTTGATACGTGATACGGTGATTTTCAAGACTTTCAGTGAAACATATTATCTATACCTACATCACTAAAATATAATCTGATTTGTTGTGATAAGAACAATATTATTATCTAATTTCAAAACCAACAAATAATTATCAATAAATATATAATTATGAGATGGTATTGTCATATGCAGTAGCTAAACGAAAGTTATAATGGTATTTTTTTATGACCATGAATTGATAATCTTCTTTATTTTCTATTTCACATGTAAACAAAGTGTAAAATAGATAATTGATCAGGTGAAAAGATATCAATACTGTATACACAGTCATTGTATTATAAATAAAAATCTCAAAATAGGGCTAAGCACAGAAACTGGCAACACATATTAGTTCGGCATGTTGCCGCTTCTAGTTTTTGTCGCAATTTCTTCCAAGAATGATAAGTAATTGTATATTGAATCATTTTATCCAAACATTAAAGGACATTTTGCAGTTTATGCCGTACAAAACATATTTTAAAATGTTTTCTCACTGGGAAGATACGTTAAAGCTGTAACATATGTGGTAGCGCACGCGATTTCCAAGTTTTGTTTTTTTTTAATTTCATGAAGTAAGTGTAGAATTTTGTAAATGGTGCTAAATTGATATACAATTGTTTTCTGTAGTGCGCTGTAACTTCAATTCCAAGTAGTAAAAAGCGACCGATGTAAGAACAAGAAATTTTGATATGAATTACTCAATAAAATGAAACGGAAAGAAAGAGTGCCTATTGTTTTATAGGTTTTGCATTATTTTTAAAATTTGAAGCACATTAAAACAGAAGCTTACTGTTCAAAAATACAACTTATATGATTTTTATACTTCTTCTATTTCTAACGATGCTAGTAATAAATATGAAAACTTTAAATTTATCGTTTTAGTATTATATTGTATGAACTGTCATATGTCTTCCTTTAATTTAATTTTATTACAATATGAACAAGATTACTTTCCCTATGTAAAAAGATGGTAACGTGTTACTAAATTTCTAAAGTTTATCAAAAAATATACGTAAATTATTCTTACAAAATATCGAAATATCAAATACATAAAATGTATTAGGTATTTCAATTTATTGAATTATGTATAGAATTGATTTAGTTTTAAACAATTTTGATCCCAAAGTGGGAGAGAGAAAAAAACTGCCAAGTATGATTAATCATCATATAACAGATTTAGGTAGATAAATATGACTTTAAAAAAAATTAAACAACAATTGTGATAATTTATTTTCGAATTCGAATGAAGCTTTTGTGAACACAATAAAATCGAAATTAAAAAAATAAATAAATAAAATTTTATAATATTCATAAGTGCCTTAGCATTTTGTAAATATTTTTAAATAGTTGTACAGAATGTTTTCATTTTTTTTTATGTTTTTTATACCAATGTACATAAGATAGTTATAAAATAAGCTTTAAATTATTCTAATACTAATTTATTCCATCTTGACTGTATTCAAAGATTAATTGTTTTATTCTTTTGAATTTGTGTCATTTATTTAATAGACAGAGGCTAAGCATATTGGATTCAATTAATGAATTACAAACAAAAAAGTCCTTCGTTGCAATACCTACAATTGAATTCAAATTGATAAATGAAAATGAAAGTTATTGGAATATTATCAATTTATCACTTACATAATCTTTTTTACAATATTCGCTCGTATATAAATTAGTATGGGTGTGATTATTTTAGTATTCTATCATTTTTTAATTATTTGAATCAATGGGTAACTTTAAATCCTGTTGAATATATAATTGACCATTTCACCGTTTTGGTAAAAGTATTACATATTGTTCATATGATCATATTAAACCGGTATCGGATTTCTTTTTCTCAATTAAGTGATGTTTAAATTATTTAATATAGTTTTAATAACACTTTTTTTACTATAAAAGAGCATATTTTATTAATTTTAAGTTGTGACGTTGCATTACATTATCCCAATATGAGTACACAATTGTACAATTGGTGGGTCCTATCAACCATCATGTCCATGTTTGTCCTATTCTCTATCCGTGAATTATCTTATCCCTAGAATTATTAAATTATTTAATTACATATTATTGCTTTATTTCAAAGTGATTATGATTTATAATTCGTAATATTTATTTCTTTACAATATAACGTTATCGTAAGTGATTGATTCACATGTATAGGTATATTGAATCTAATTTGCTTAACCAGAGTCTTATTTAAATTAAATTTGGTATCGACGAACAAAATATTTGTAACTATTTAAGTTAATAAAGCATATTTATTGATAAATGTATTTTGTTGTTTTGTTTTGCGTATGTTTATAATAATATTAACATTCTTTGTTGCATCATGATACTCCTTTTCGATATTGGTTAGGTATTTAAATATTGGATCATGCTTGTGAAAGAATACATTTTAAATATCTACCTATGTAGGTGTTATTATAAATAATATCGTCTGTCTGTCTAAATGTGATAAACTCTAAAACATCAAAACAAATTTTAATGCGGTTTATAACAATGAAATAAGAAGTTAAAATGTATAGTTCATAAAGACTCTCTTTATTTGATAAGTGTGAACATTATCGAGATATTTCCAAAAATGCCTATGTTAATTAGATCAAAATCACATTTAATCTTAAAATATTGGATAACTCAGACGTCTATTAACAAACAGCTAATCTATTATATATTTTTCTCTTCTAAATTAACACGACTCTATTTATTTTATAATCTATTCTATAATCTGATCTATAATAGACAAATATTTTTATTTCTAATTCCAATTTCGTTTACTAAGAATTCTACTCTGAATGGTTTACCAGCCTAAGGGGATATTTAGTTTCTTGACAGTTCGCTCCAAAATATTATATAGAGGGCGATAGTATCTCTGTAGAGCTAGTGGGGTGATATCGGTGTTACCAGTAGTGGCGAATAAAATCTCCCGCCAATGTTGCGAGTGCCCTCTCGACATAAAATCTCTGAAAAGTAATAAAGAAAATAAATCAATGAAACTACTTAATTTAATATTAATTGTTGACCAATAGTATTTAACTCGAAAATTTCAAACAACTCCGTATAAAACAGCAAAGGTAATGTTTTTTTTTTTTTTTTTACTTTTTCAATGGATAATAATACGAAAATCTTCGCGCGCAAGTCTGACTCGTACTGGACTTGTTTTTTAAATTAGAAAATTTAAGAATTTCACGACTGCCTTCAATACTTTACATCATGATCTAGCCTATAATTGATAACTTATTTTTATTCTTACTTCAGCAATTTCCCAGCAGCCTTGGATCCATATATATCACATCTATTCATAATAATAGTATCGGGTAATGGTGTGGTCATATCTCGTCTTCCGAACACGGCAGCGCGGCATAAAGCTTCGAAGATTTGATGCTGAATGAAGCTACTAAGAAAATATCTGGAAAAAAACAATTTTATTGCCATTATTCATTGCCAAAATTTAATCAATTTCTTGATTTGTGTGTTTATTCACATAATTTTATTAGAGCTTTATATGTACTACAAAGTCAAAGTAAATACGTACTACATAAGAATTGATACTAGCATGGGTACTCGTAAAAAAAATCACGGCTATTGTGTTTGGAGACAGGCAGGTCGAACGCTGCCTGGCAGAAGGTGAGGCAGGAGTAGTATTAATAAATTATTAGTTCCTTGCCAATGCAAGGACCTGACTTCATTCGTATGATAGTGTATTTGTTTGTTTGTATTGTACCAAGCAACTACTTGATGGCATCAATTTTGAGAACAGGGAAGATTCACTTTTGATAAAATGAAGATAGATGCACCATTCACATTTGATATATACAAATTATTATTAAAAACGAGACTTGTGTTACTAAAAAAATGGCTCAATCTTGCATCATAATAGCAATCAATAGTGTCGTTACTATTATTACCTTATATATGCAGTGTTGTCAGGAACGTGAAACTTGGCAGCCACATCAAAATACTGTTCGTCTCTTTCTTCCGGTGGAACTATTCCTTGTAATTCTAAAGTTAAGTCCCAAAATTCTTTGTTCAATGCATTCATGTCCATACCACCTTCGAAATATTTCCATCTGTACTCATCGATAACTAAAGCGTAGGGAATTTGCGGTATTTTATTTAAAGCTTGCTTCAGTAATAGTAATTCATCGGGTGTTAGATCTAACGTTTCAACAGTATTTAAATCGCTTTTATCAATTTTCATGTTCATTGTTAATGTATCGTCAATACGATCACCAAATGTTTCAATTCGTTTTGCTTCTACATTATTTTTGGAAAAGCCTGAGTCGCTGATTTTATCATATTGCTTTTCATTTGTTTTTGAAATATCGTAGAAATTGTCTGCAATATCATATTTTTGTGAAGCTTTGTGGTTTTGATTTGTTTCCATCTGATCAACCTTTAAGTTATTAATAAGTTTTTCAGGGTGATAGTCATTTCTTTCGATTACGTCCTCCAATTTTTGTTCCGGTGGTTTTGCTGTTGAATCTGAGTAGCCTATCGTATCATTGACCAAGTTAAGTCTATGCAGATGTTGCGGCGTCATCACTCCATAAAAGATTGCGTCACCAATGCTCTCTTGCAGAGCTGAATTCGCTTGCTGAAAAAAATTAAGAATACAAAATATTAGATCATGTTGACAGGCGGTATATAAAGCGTTTTTAATTTGTTCTACAAAATATCAATCAGTGGTGGTATAGTCGTACTTATAGTAGACGTTAGGAAACTTTAGACAAGAGACGTTAGGAAGATGAAGAATTTAAGAATATGATTTTTAATTTTTACTTTTCTACTTATAAACATGTTTAAAGTAAAATAGAGATTAACGAATCATTAAGATGTCACAGTGGTAAGTGCCTTCAGTCTGCGATGAGGAAGTTAAGAAAATTTCGTAAGGGTCGGTAATAGGATGGATGGCCAAAAATTTATTATATCCATAACATGTCTTCTGAAGCATCCATTGGTCCCGGCTGTATCTGCAGTCATTAATTGCGCTCATGGTCCATTCTCCTTATCTAATTCCATCCATAGGAAAGGCCTGTATCCCATCATTGGGCGCATTAATAGGCTGATATCATCATGTATATATAATTAACTCACTCTGAATAATACTGGCTGATTAGCATAGGCCATGTAGTAATGGATGTGTCCAAGCTCATGATGTAACACATATAAGTCTTCCATAGTCGTATCAGCACAATAAAGGAGTCTGTAAGGCAAAAAAATATTTTATCAAAGAGATATGTACATACATTATCAGTACAGTGGATGAGATTAGTAAGCTCTTAATATTTAATACTAATGTGTAATTTTGTTATCATTACCGTAACACAGAATATTATTATAACTATTTACCTATAGTCGTCATCTTGGAACATATCCGCAGCGGTGCCGTGACATTGTGTATCGCCATTTTTCTTTTCTAACACAGATTCCCTCCAAAACTTGGGTGTCATGGCGGGTAACCCCATTGATTGGTAAAAGTCTTCCGCAAGTTTTACCTGAAATCAAGCGTATTGTTCTTCTTATAGTTATACTAGTCTGATAAAGTATGTACTCTCTTATGAGCACGTGATAGTAAACATGGCGTTTTTTATCATTAGATTAGCGGACACGGTAAAGTTTGTTCCGCCTAATAGTTATTGAATGATCAGATTTTGGGTTTTAAAGATATTACAAAATTAATTATTTAAAATAAATTGAGAAAAGCACGATATCTCAACCGATTATTCACAATAACTAAATGATCTCTCGTAAACCGAAAATTTTCAGATTGAACTACACTCTCCAGCAACAGAGTCATCAACTAGTCCATTCTATGAGTGATCTGGGTGTGGTGCATGATTCTAAGTTATATAGATAGTATAGTATCGTATCGTTCGTAGTGGCTTAGAGTACGCATTACAAATATAGAACTCACGTTACGCTCTATACATTAAAAGACTTGAATATACACAAAACACCAAGTAAATGAGATAACGGTCATTATATTTAGTAAAATATTTTCTTACCATATGTTGCACAGTCCAGTTGAGATTCTTAATACTTGCATCTAAATCAATAGACTTGTGTGTAATGAAATCCATCGTTGCCTCCCAGTTTTGTGACCACAGATCACCTAGAAGATTAACAGATCCATTCCTGAATTAGTTCTCGGGTTTGGATTTTCATTATATTTTTTTTTTTGTTAAACACCTATTTCTTTTTAGTAGAGTCTGGCAAGCGAAACGTGTCACAAGAAAAGGGCGGCAATTTCAAAAATTCTTAAGCAGTAAACACTGAATGTAGTACTGCAAAATAATTTTGATACTTTTATTAATTATATTTAATCTTAACATTTAGATATCAATTAAAATTATTTGTTTTGGAACATTTGACTAAAGCGTGACTGTTCTTAATTGTACAGTTAACAGCATATCAGTAGGCCTATTCACTAACTCAACTGACAACCAAGAATCGTCATCACCGTAAAAAATAGACACTTTGATTGTGTCAAAATCACTATTTCGTATTCTCTATCAATGATGAGCAATTTCGAAATGTCAATATCGGCATTCTCCACTGGACTCCATTTTGACACTTGATTTCGTATCGATAAACTGTATTAAAGTAACATTGTTGCAAAGCATATTTGAAGTCGTCGCATAGTACCTCTTAAGCCATTTGTTGTTAAATTAAAGCGAAAAAAAATACGTATCCAATATTTTTCTATTATCTGACTGACGGACTAAATCGAATCTTTTTTTTAACCCATTCGTTATACCTATTGGCTAACAGCACTTATAATATTAAAAATTCATATTTGTCATTAATTAAAAGGGTGTTTTTTGCAACGACTTCTTTGTTTTTTTGTAATGAATATGGGCGACTCTGGCCACATTTTTTTAATAAATGTGATGTTAGCCAATTTTGATTTCTGGCCCTTATATTTATAATGTGTTCATAACACATACATGTCTCCTAAGGGATTTTCATCACAACCTTTTGCTCTGATCCAGAACCACTATCTATCAAATTAAATTAGTCAATATAAACACCAGATTACAATAAAAAAAACATTTATTTTTGTTACAATTAAGTGCCATGGATAAATTACATAATACAGGTGTCACAAAATCATCATGTTAATCACAATAGAAAATTTAAGATAAGATTTTGACTATGAATCAGACTAAAAATACTTTAGTCTGATTCATAGTCAAAATCTGTTTCTAAATATTCTACACCTGATAACAATGACAAGGAATCATCAGAGTCACTCTCTTCACTACTGTCTGCACCAACAGATATAATAAATTTTTCAAGTTCGTTTTCAACAATGCCATCTTTTAATTTGTAATCATTTTCGACATTTAAAACATGATCAGTGTATTTCTTCCAGTCACTAGGGGTAATTAAGTTAAAACACTCTATTATTAAGTTTTCCATTTCCTTTCCTGGTATTCCAATGTTTCTGCTTGCAATTTTTCTTTTTGCTTGACTCCAAACCATCTCTATTGGGTTTAAGTCACAATGATACGGTGGCAGCAATAAAAGTTCATGATTATGTTCTTTTAAAATCTCTTCAGCTTCATATACAGGCAATGTTTTCTTATCATTAACCAAACACATTAACTCTGCCTTTGTCTGATATTCCTCAAAATGTATTCCATTATTTACAAGCCATTTACGGATATCTGCTTTGGTATTAGACATTATAGGCGGTTTATTGATTTGTTTTATATGGTAGCTGGCATTATCCATAACAATTACACTGGGCTTACTTAAATTTGGTATTAATTTTTCTCTGACCCATTTCATAAAGTTCGATGAGTTCATATCATCATGATAATCAGCAGATTTGGATTTACTACTGAACACTAATAATGCACCAGGCACAAAACCTTCCTCAGATCCAGCATGCACAACAATATGCCGTTTTCCAGAGGATATCTTTGTAGTGACACCAGTTGTTGAAGGTCCTTGCCAAGACTTTTTAACTTTATAATTCTGATGTACATAAGTTTCATCAAGGTACACAATTTGCTTTCCTTCGTTTCGTTTTATATTTATTTCTCTCAAATACTTGTGCCTCCATGCAGAAATCTGGTATTTTTCTATAAGCATAGAACGTTCATTTTCATTGCTTTTAAAAAAAAATCCATTCTTAAGCATAATTTTTCGTAAAGTCTCACGGCTACCACTGAATCCTATTGCATCTTTTAATTCATTGTGAAGGCTTCTTAATGTTGGAACAATTTTTTTCACACAGTAAAATTCATTTACTTTATTCCGAATTGCACTTAAATCAAAATTATCTAAAGCAGACACTGTTGGTTGATGAGGTCGTTTTTTCCCAGGAGTGTCCCATTTACCTTTATTAATTAATGCTTCATTTTTTATCCTTCTTAGTGTCCTTATACTTACATCTATAAAAGATTAAACACTTTGAAACAAAGATATGTTAAATGTATTTAAAAGCAAATAATGATAGACACATACATCAAAATAATTTAAATACCTATTCAACTATGAATGCAATTTATGTTTAATTTAGTTAAGTTTATGTGCATATTTAGCATGTATAACAATTACATGGTTTGATTAGTTTCATGAATTCTGTGAATTTCCTTGTTAAACAAAACATTCTTATGACATCATTGGATGTCAACAATAAAAACCAATACATCATAAAAAACCTATGTAAATATTATAGGAATACTATCAATCTATCTTAAATCAAAACAAGAAAAGAGACCTGTCATTGAAGAAATTTTTTGTAAGTACTGCGTTTCCGAATTCAGCATTTCTTGTTTTTCTAAAGTTTTTATTGCATTTATCTCCTCCATTATTGGTTGAATATCACCATCACAGTTATCTGAAATAGAGCAATATTTTATAACAAATATCTGTTTAGTTAATTACAGAAAATTAAAACGAAAGTATCAAAATTATAATACAAAACTAACCTAAAAAAGATACAACTTTATCTAATCGTTGTAATTTCTCCATGAAATTTTTATTTAATTCAGTTTTCACTTCAGTAAACTTGTCAATCATGATGGAAAGAAGTTTCCTCGATGAACTTTTTATCGGCTTCGACATAATTTTTAACCAAAAACACAAGTTCAAATTCGCAAAAACAACAAAATTCAATATTCTTGAATTGTCTAACGTAGTGTCAAACTGACAGTTCTATGTTGTTGCCATATGAAAACGGAAAAATAGGTGGTGTCACGTTTCGCTTGCCAAACTCTATGAGATATCCTGAGTAGGTAGGTAAAATATTAAATTTAAAAAGTTTTTTTAAAAGCTTATTTTGAAGGAATGAGGAAGTATTAAAAAAAAAACATCAGTTCTCGAAATCAAACTAGATGTCGCTATGGTACGTTCTTGATTTCTCCATGACAACCCTTCCGGTTTTCTTTCATGTTTAGGAATAAATTCGTTTTCAAAACTCAATAAACAATTTATATTCTATTTGTACCTATTCGTATTTGTATTGATATCTAAGTTTCGAACTTTTCAAATTTCAGTTTTTTTTATATGTTAGTAAAAGGAACAGAAATGTCTGTCTTTAGTCCATTCGTTTTCTGCAAAAATCAACTTTTGCTAGAGTCGCCATATAGTAAAGGTGCTTTATTGGTGCTTTCGTTTTTTTTAATATTTCCTCATTGATTTTACTTAGAGATGTTATCTATGATATTCTAAAAATTATTTAAAGTCTTAATTAATTGTTCTATAACACTCAACGATTTCTTTAATCAAACTTATAATGACACAAATTTTTGTCGGCAGGTGGCTTAAGAAAAACAATCTACCTAACAAATGAGCAGGTATAGGTCCTTTTTCAGGTACTGAATTTCCGTATTTGCCTCTTAAATAGTACCTGACCACTCCATGCAGCATAGAGTATAGAGGTCGAATGCTAGAGTACAATTGTCGGCTCAGTTGTCTGAGATTAGTTATTTCTAATTCGTCACGCCAAAAGACCCCAATATCGGGATAGCCTGAAAATAATAAGATACGCATTAGCCAAAATATGTAGTAGTTTGCTTCATTTCGTTGAACATCATCATCAGTCCTTTTACGTCCCCACTGCAGGGGCTCAGGCCTCAACCATGAGCTATGACCAATGGCTTAAAGTGCCCTCTGAAGCACGGAGTACCACGAGAAAATAATTTTTTGGTCAGCATCCTGAGACCGTCCCTCGCGAAAGTTGTTTATAAAACAACGATCGCCGACTTATCCACTACGCCACCAAGCTACAATGATACTACTGTGAAAGTAATTCAAGGTATATTAAACACTTTTTCCTGATAGACCTTAAAGTTACCAGTATTCCTGGCCAAGTGGTTCGCACGCCCGTTCTTAGGCATAATCACGTCTGAGGTTCCAGCTTCGATTCGTAGAGGTTAACATAGAGAAAGTAATTTTCTATTTATTATCAGGTCTGGGGGTAACCTTATTTTTTCAGATACTTGATAGTACGTGTCTTGGAATCATAGCAATATGTGCGATGTATCTATTAATTATTTATTATTCTACCATGTCGATAAGCTCGACGGCGTAGTGGTTAGTGCTTTTGGTCAGCTAATGTCCGCCACATTAAGTTACTTTCGGTAGTCTTGTCATTAAATGCGTAACCGAAAAGATTCTTTGGAATACACGTTAAGCCCTGAGTTCCGGCTGCACTTGATAGATAGCCACTTATTCGCATTTGTTCCGCATGGTGCCTTTTTGCCCAAAGTTTCTTTTCACGAAAACTTCTGCCTCAGCTGTGAGGACATCAATAGGCTCATGATGCTGATTAAGTCATGTGAAAATAAAGTTCATATACCATTACGCCTGGCTCCTTGATTCTCCAACCTAACCAATTCTCTGAAAGGCTTTTTCATCAATCCCGTATTCTGTCTCCAAGCTAGCCATAGTAATTTTAAAACATTTTCATCTTTCACGCTCTTCATCATCTTCTCGAAATCCTCTTCGCCTTTCAAACAAAACAAGCCGTACTCTAAATCGATATTTCCCATTTTTGCGGCGAAAGGCGTTAAATCTGTCTTTTTCAAAAAGGTGGTGGATTCATGGTGGTCTTTCGTCATATTTTTCTGCGTTGGTATGCAAATGAATATGTCGTAA